GCTGAGCATCCCCGAGTGCCCCTGTGCCGGGTGTCCTGCTCTGAGTGTCCCTGCTCTGTGTCCCTGTCCCGAGTGTCCTGCTCCGAGTGTCCCTGCTCTGTGTCCCTGTCCCGAGTGTCCTGCTCTGAGTGTCCCTGCTCTGTGTCCCTGCTCCTGGTTTTCCTGCTCCTTGTCCCTGCTCCGTGTCCCTGCTCTGAGTTTCCCTGCTCCAAATGTCCCTGCTCCTGGTTTTCCTGCTCCTTGTCCCTGCTCCGTGTCCCTGCTCTGAGTTTCCCTGCTCCAAATGTCCCTGCTCCTGGTTTTCCTGCTGTGTGTCCCTGTCCCAAATGTCTCTCCTCCAAGTGTCCCTGCTCCATGTCCCTGCCCCAAGTGTCCTGACCCCAAGCATCTTCACTCCAAGCATCCCTGCCCAAACATTCCAACCCTAAGCATTCCTGCTTCGAACGTCCCCTTGCTGAGCATTCCTGATCCCAAAATCCTCACCCCAAACACCCCAACCCCAAGCATCCCCACTCCTGAGCATTCCCACCCTGAGCCTCCATTCCCCAGCCATCCTGACCCCAAACATCCCCACCTCAAACATCCCTTCCAAAAGGGAAAACACTTTTCCTGGGGGAAACGAGGTAGTTGGAGGTGGGAACAAATCTTTTTTCCACCTTGAAAAAAATCCTCCATCTCCCTCGGAAGCCCCCAGTTCCGGTGGGATGGGGAGTGGTACTATATCACATTCCAGCTCGTCATACCCCAAAGGAGGAGGAAAAGGGGGTGCAGTGGTTGCTGGGGTGGAAGGGGTCGTGACCATGGGGGTCTCCAGAAGCGCTCCTGGGACTGGAGTAGGGCAGAGCCGTGCTTCCCGCAGCGGAAATCAGCTCAGCTCCCTCGGTTACTCCGGCTTTTCTCCGGGCTAAATGAGGACAGGAGCGGCTCAGCCCCGGCGCCGGGGTCAGCTGGGGCCACGGAATCAGCTCGGGAAACAGGGCGGGAGAGGGGCGGGACTGCAGCGGGTACCCCGGCCGGCCGGGGGGATCCGGGGGGACCCGGGGGGGACCCGGCGGCTCTCACTCGGCACTCGGCCTTCCCACATTTCCTTGAATTCCCCTTCTCAGGGGCGGCGAGTTGGATTTAGGTCATCTGCTCCTCTGCGGCCTGCCTGCTGCTTCTCCTTTCCCTTCATCTCCTTCCCATCATCGCCTTCCTCTTTGCCTTAATCTCCTTCCCCATGTTCTCCTTCCACTCCCCTGTTCTCCTTCCTCTTTCCCTTCCTCTGCCTCCTCCCCTTCCTCTTCCCCTCTCTCGGGGTCTGGTGGTGCTCCCAGGAGCATGGTGTGATCCCAGCAGCATTCCCGTCCCTGGCACAGCCCTTCGCTTGTTATTGTCGTGTCTGCAGCTCTCAGGGCTTCCCCCGGCCGTGCCCCAAAGCCACCATCCCAACGGAGGAGGATCCCCGGGGTGGGTGCCAGAGGAGGAAAACCACAATCCGAGCGCCGGGGCTGGCCGGGCTCCACCGCAGCGGGGCCGGCAGCCAAAGCTCCCTCTTGGCCGGCCCGTGCCGCCGGCTGGCAGCGGCTCCCGCTGACCTCCCGGCCGTGCCCTCACTGCAGCCCTGGCACACGGTGCCCCCAGAGCCACCCCAATGCCCCCAGAGCCACCCCGGTGTCCCCAGAGCCACCCCGGTGTCCCCAGAGCCGCCCCGGTGCCGCTGAGAAGGGCTCAGCATTGCCAGCGAGCTTCCTCTGGCCCCCAGATTCTCCACTTTTATTCAAATTGTGTGGTTTTTGCATGGGATGGCACCAAGCTGTGTGTGTGTGCTCCGTTCTCTGCAGCTCCTGACCCGGTTGGCTCCTGCCAAGGGGTTTAACAAACTCCCAGACATTTGTTTTGGGGGATCTTTGGGGAATTCCCTGGTGTGGGGAAGCAGGTGGTTTTGGGAGGATGAGGGATTTAAACTCCATTTCCCTGCTGGCTTCGGGTGGGTTTGGTTTGCTTTTTATAGCAGCAAAAAGAGTTGAAAGGAATAATTTGAAAAAGTGGAAAAGGGGAAAAATAAAGGCAGAAAAGCGGGTTTGGAACTTGGGATGGATGGATGGATAGATGATGGATGGATGGATGGATGATGGACAGATCCCTCCATCCATCATCCATCATCCATCCCTCCCTCCCTCCATCCATCATCCATCATCCATCCCTCCCTCCCTCCATCCATCATCCATCATCCATCCCTCCCTCCCTCCATCCATCATCCATCATCCATCCCTCCCTCCCTCCATCCATCATCCATCATCCATCCCTCCCTCCCTCCATCCATCATCCATCATCCATCCCTCCCTCCCTCCATCCATCATCCATCATCCATCCCTCCATCCATTCCTCCATCCATCCATCCATCTGGCCATCCCTCCGTCCAGCTGTCTGGCCGTCCATCCGTCTGTCCATCCCTCCATCCATCCATCCATCCATCCATCCATCCATCCATCCATCCATCCATCCATCCATCCATCCATCCATCTGTCTATCCCTCTCTCCCTCCCTCCTTCTGTCCGTCCATCCGTCCATCCCTCCGTCCGTCCGTCCGCCGGTCCGTACGTGCGCGCGGCGCCGGCGCTAATGGCTCCTGCAGCTGCTTTGGCAGGGGGCGGGGAGGGCCGGGGCTCCCGGGGCTCCCGCGGCCCCGCTCGCTCTTTCCTCCCGCGGACGGTGCCGGTGCCGCCGCCGCCTCCCGCCCCTGCACACGTAAGTGCCGCCCGGCCGGAGGCGTCCCCGGGCCCGCACCGTGCCCCCGCAGCCGCGCTCGCTGCGCTCCGAGCGGCTCCGGACCATTCCCAGGGAGCGCAGCCCAGGCTGGAACCGCTCCAAGCCGGGCTCAGCCTGTGTGTGGTTGATTTTTTTTTTATTCCCTTCCTTCTGTTTAAGGCATTTAAACTTGGGGGGGGATTTAAAAAGGGAGGAAAAACGGATTTAAAAAAAAAAAAAAAAGTTTTGCCCAGGGGGATTTTTTCCCCTTTTGTAGCGCCCGGAGGATGCAGAAGGGGATGTGCAGGAGCAGCCGGGTTAACCCCAACCATATCGCTTGATTTTCTCTTTATTTTAATTTATTTCCTCCCCTCCCCAGCTTTTATCCTTTCTCGGGTTGAATGGAAGGAGGTTCGGGAGCTTTGGGTAGGCAGAACTTTTTCCGAGGAAAATAAGCTGAGGGCAGAGGAATTGGTGCAGCCGGGATGGGGAGGGGGGATCGATTTTGGGGAGAAGCTGCGGGGTCTTAACATCTCCCAGCCAGCAGGGCCAGGAACAAAAGGAGCTGGATGGGACAGCCAGGAAAAAATTTGTTTTTTTAATGTATATGTAGGTATATATGTGTATGTGAAGTTTTTTCCTCCGCTGAATTGGGGAAGGTTGTGGCTTTCGGGTTAACCCTTTAGGAGCAGCGGGGGATGTTTGCTCCGTCCTTTAGTTCACACAATGAACTATTTTCCTACATTCCTAGCTCGGTTCCATAACCCAGTTTATGGGCTGGAGCAGCCCAAGGTGCCTCCCTGGCCCTGCGGCTGATTTTTGGGGCTTCCCCTGCCCTTTCCCAGCAGGTTTTCCCCTGGGCAAACCCTTGGGGCGGCTCCTCACCCGGAGCAGAACAGGTTTGCCATCATTTCCCTGGGCTGGCGACCCTTGGGGCACCGGCGTGTGCCCCGGAGCCCCCTGAGAGGGGGAGCTCGGGGCGTTTATCTCCCCGGCGCTTGGGAAAATCCCCTTTGGCTGGGCAGGAGGAGGAGGAGGGCGGAGGGAGGACGGGCGAGGCCGTTCCCTGCTGGGTTTGCAAAGGAGAGCGGAGGCGTGCTGTCCCCACCCTGCCCGGCTGCGCTTTCTCCCCGGACCTGCCGGACCGGTCCCATCGCCCCGAAGGCACCGGAGCCCCTCTAAAACACCTCTGAAAACATCACGGGGTGATGCCGTACCAGCACTGTGACGCCCTGGGGGATTTCTCCGCTGGGGAAAAGGGGTTTTTTTGGAAAGAGTCGTGCTGGGAGTGGTTCCTGCGAGGTTTCGCCGGAGTCAGCAGGCGTTCTTATCTCTCCAGCGTAGCGTTCTTATCTCTGCAGCGTGGCTCTGCTCACGCTCTCACAGCCAAGGGTGAAGGACTCTGCACCGAAGCCGTGGTGCCTGAAGGGTTAAAGCAGCCACACACGGACACTTAGAGCACTCGGAGCCATAATTTTGTATTTAACTTTGTATTTAACTCTGTATTTCGGCTCTCCCCGCGAATCTGAGCTGCGGATCCTTCCTACGGGCTGCTGGCGGCCCCGTCCAGAGGCAGGAAGCTCTGCCCACAGCCTCTGCTTGCTTTGGCATGGTTTTTCCAGTGAACTCTGCTGTATTTTTAGCTTGCCGGAAGCTCCCCCTGCTTATCAGCAAACGGCTCAATGTGCTGCCAGCACCGAAATCCCCAGTGGGACAGCACCACAGAGACCACAACGACCCCCCCCATCCCTGGCAGAACCCCTTGGAGGGTCTTACCCAGGGTGTCCAGCCCGGTCCCCAAGTGCCACCACCCGGCGTTGGCGTGGCCGGGTGTGTTCGGTGTGTGCCTGGCACGGCCCCGGCGCTGCCGGCAGCTCTGGCCGGCCGTGTTGATACAGACGCTGGGTTATTTGAGGTGAAACAGCCCCTGGCACCGGCGTAGCCAACTCGGCGGCTTCCTGCCGTGCCGCGGCCCCCGGCGAAGGACGGCTGCTCCGGCCGGGATGTTTGCTCCTGGCACAGCTCCAAAACCCCCCTCTCCTCCTTGTGCTGCTGCCTTCAGTGCGGGCAAACTGTGCCACCGCAGGCAGGGACACTCTGCCTGTCCCACCACGTGCGTGGTGCCCTCGGCGGGTGGTGGAAATCCCAAACGGTCCTGTGAGTGATTTCGAAAGCGGGTGGCGGGGTGGGGACGTGGGTGGCACGGTGGAAAGTGGCTGCCCTCCGAGCCAAGCCGAGCTGCTCCTCACTCAGCCAGCCGGGCAGAACCCACGTGGCTTTGCCGGTGGCACTTCCTCGCGTGGCTCATCTGCGTCTTCATCCCCCTGGTCATAAAATGAGATGGGAAAAGGGGAACTAAAGGAAACAGAAGGGAAAAATTAGGGTTGGGGCACGTGGAGATGCTCATGTCTCTTCTCTGTCCCTCCTCACAGGCAGGTTCGGCGGGCAACGCGGTTGATGGACGCAGCAGAAGCCAAATGGAAGAAGGGCCAATTAATTATGTGGAAGAAAGGCGGCTGAAGGAGGGCAGCGGGCTCAGCCTGGTGAATGGGGGCCGGCCGGAGGCGGGGGGTACCGTGCTGATGGAGCCCAGCGGGTGGTCGCCGCGTCAGCCGCCCACCACTGGCAAAGCCCACTTGGAAGACGTCCGGAACCTGGTGGCCTTCTCAGCGGTGGCCGAAGCCGTTTCCTCCTACCGGCTCCCACCGCCGGGCTCGCCGTCGCTGCTGTACGAGAAGTTCGACTCGGAGATGAGCCGGGGCGGGCTGGGCACGGCGGACGGGGTGCCACGAGGAGAGGACCTGCACGCCCTCAAGGCCGCCCTGGCTTTGGCCAAGCACGGTGTGAAGCCCCCCAACTGCAACTGCGACGGCCCCGAGTGCCCCGACTACCTGGAATGGCTGGAGCAGAAGATCAAGACGGCTCTCGGAGAAGAGCTGGCGTCACCTCGGCCCCGCGCCGCCGCCATCCCCCCGCCTCCTCCCCCTGAAGGTGCTATTGACCCCCAGCCGGTGCCTGAGGCTGCCGAGCCGTGCCCGCCCGACGGCCTCCCCTTTTCCCAGAGCGCGTTGACCATCGCCAAGGAGAAGAACATCAGCCTGCAGACCGCCATAGCCATCGAAGCCCTCACGCAGCTCTCGGCCGCCCTGCCCCAGCCCGCGGGCGATGGGCAGCCCCCGCCGCCGCCGCCGCCCCCCGCCGTCCCCTTCGGCCCCGGCCCCCTCGGCCCGCCGGGGGCCGCGTGGCAGCGAGGGGACGAGCCCCGTTACCCGCCCGAGCCGGGAGCAGCACCTGAGCCATTTTTCGGCGCGGCACCTCCGCGGGGGAACTTCGCGGCCACGTGGGGGCTGGAGGCCGAGGGGGCAGCGGGGGCTGGAGACCCCATGGCAGAGCTGGAGCAGCTGCTGGGTAATGCTGACGACTACATCAAGGCGGCTTTCAAGAGACCCGAAGCGACGGCCGGCAAAATGACAGCTCCCAAAACAGAACCCCCCGAGCGAGCACCCAGCAAAGAAGCACCGGGTGGCCCCCACTTGCCGCCAGCACCACAGGAGCCTGACCTGCACAAGAAGACGCAGCTGGTCCTGCAGCAGCATCTCCACCACAAGCGCAGCCTCTTCCTCGAGCAAAGCCTGGCGGCGGCGGCGACACCCCCGGAACGGCCGAGCGGCTGGTGGGCTCCCGGCGCCCCCGCCGCGCCCCCCAAGCCCTTCGAAAAGCAGCCCAAAGAGAAGAAGAAGAAAACGCCGCCCGAGAAGCCCCCGCCGGCCAAACCTCTCCGCAAGCAAGTGCAGATCAAGAAGGCGAAGCAGAAGGACTCGCAGCCGCTCTTCCCTCCCCTCTGGCAGATCAGCCTGGAGGGGTTTCGGGCGCCCGCCGAACCTCCCGCCGAACCCCCCGCCGAAGAGATGCAAACGGAGCCGCCGCCGCCGGCCTTCCCGCACCAGCCTCTTGCACTACCCCAGCCCGCCGCATGCCCCCCGCCACCAAACCCCCTGGACGGCGTCCCCCCGGCTTCCGACTCTCAGGAAAGGGGTGCCCCCGGGGGGGGCCCCCAAATTCACTCGGCGCCGGCGGGCTCGACTGGCTCGGAGGAAGCGCCGGCTGCCCCCCCGCCGGCCAGCTCGGCTCCCATCATGGTGGATGACAAGCTGGAAGAGCTCATCCGACAATTTGAAGCCGAATTTGGGGAGAATTTCAACCTGCCGCCCCCCGAGACGCCTGCCCCGCTCGCCCCCGGGGCTGCCGAGCTGCCGGGGGGGCCAGCACCAGCCCCGCAAGGGTCCCCCACCGCGGCCACCACCGCGGCCACCGCCGCCCCGGCTCCCAGCAGCGCTCCCCAAGCCGGACCCAAAAGCATCTCTCCAGGGAAGGGGCCACTGTCAGAGCCACCTTTCACTGCCCGCTCCCCCAAACAGATCAAAATCGAGTCTTCTGGTGCTATCACCGTGGTGTCTACCACGTGTTTTTACTCTGAGGAAAGCCAAAACCCAGACGTGGACGACGTCGACAGAACACCCACCAAGGACGAGGTGCCGCTGACGCCGACCCTGAGCGGCTTCTTGGAGTCTCCGCTGAAATACCTGGACACGCCGACCAAAAGCCTCCTGGACACCCCTGCCAAGAGGGCACAGGCTGAATTCCCCACCTGTGACTGCGTTGGTGAGCCAGCAGCCGTGCTGGGGAGTGGTGGGGAGGGTGGCAGAGGTGGCTTTGCAGGGTGGGGTCGACCTGGGAAGGTAACGGAAGCCGTGGCATCAGCAAAGCCCTGATTTGTGGGGAGGAAAGGCCCTCACGTGGTGAAACCCTGGTGCTGTGGAGCTCCCTTTTGCTTTCTCTTCTCCTCTCTTGTTTTTACAGTTGGATGGAAATGGCTGTGTCACCACGGGGGTGGCACTGGTGTCACTGGCTGTGCTGGGGTTGGGGGTTGGATGAGCAGCAAAACCAAAGGGCTGTTGGGTTTTTCTCCTGTTTAACCTTAACCAGCTGAATCCCCTGAATCCATGGTGGTCCCAGTGTCCAAACCCACCTAAACTCCCTTTCACCTGGTTATTCCTGGTGTTTTCAGCCAAATTAGCTGGTTCAGGTTGCTTTGAGTAACCCAGGCTTTGGTTTGATGCTTGTGCTTATCACTGGAGAAATACTTGCTGCTGGGATGTTGCCTTGTTCACTGGCCAGTCCCACCAGGATGCATTGAAAAATACCAAACTCTTGGATTTGTGTGGCTTTTTGTGGTTATTTTTGGTGTGCATTGGCATTTGTTAGACTTTGCAGCAAGTGCTAGAGAATTCCTACCCAGTCCTTCCAGTCCACCTCCATCCGAGCGTGGGGAGCTGGGTATTCCCTCCCTAAAATTTAGAGTGGACGTGTGTGCTCCCCTGGCAGCAGCAGGGTGAGGATTTGGGGGCATCCAGCTGGAAAAACAACCCCCCAGTACTGGGAGAGAATGCCCTGGGCTAAGCACAGGCTGCACTTTATTAGTGGGGCTTATGATTATTTATTTATTTGCTTGTGAATGGCAGCAGGAATGAGCCCAAACTCCATGGAGAGGAGGGAAAGCTTTCCTGAAGCCACTCAAACCCAACCTCAGAGTTTGCCAGGAAAGGATTTGTTTAGGGGCTGGGAGAGGGGGGATTCCTCCCCTTCCCCTTCTCTGTTTTCTGAAGAAAAAGCTGTGTGAGAAAGAAATGCAGCAGGAAAGGGCTCGGTGCTTTATTGGGCGCGGGAGCTGTTGGAGGCTGTAATAAAATGAGCTTTTTCCAAGCATCCCATATTGATCCCTGTCTGGACAGCTGCAGCCCAGCTGAGCCTGGCTTTCTCCTCAGCCTGGCTCCCGGCCAGCTGGACATGATGGGAATGAAAATCAGGGTGGTGAGAGCAGAGGGATGCAAAGACAGACCAGCCCTTGGCTGCCCTGTGGTGCAGGACACATCCCAGCTGGTGGTTTTGGAACATCCCCGTGTGCTGGGGCTGTTTGGGGCATCCATCACTTCCCACCCCGGTTCCTTCACGCCCTGAAAACCCCCAGGGGTTTGCTGTGTGCAGGGCTGTGTCCCAGTGTCCTTCTCCTGCGGCCCCAGGATCCTCTTCTTGATGCCCCAGGATCCTCCTGTAGTCCAAATCCTTCTCCCATAGCCCAAACCCTTTTCCTGTAGCCTGAATTCTTCTCCCATAGCCTAAATCCTTCTCCCATAGCCCAAATCCTTCTCCCACAGCCCAAACCCTTCTCTCATAGCCCAAACCCTTCTTCCATAGCCCAAATCCTTCCCCTGCAGCCCAAACCCTTTTCCTGTAGCCCCCTTATCCTCCTGCCTCTCCCCCATGCAGCAGCTCCTTCCTCACACGGGTTCAGCCAGCTCAGGGCATCCCATGAGAACCCCCAAATCCTTAGGGAAAGCCTGAAGCAGGCTGGAAGAACTTCCTGCCCCCAAAATCATCCCATGATGGCAGCATCCAGTTGGGCTGGTGCCTGTGAGAGGTCCTGGACAGGAACCCTGGGTGGGAGTAGGGTGAGGAGGGGGTTTGGAATCTCCATCTCCCACCCAGCAGAGCTGCAGTGGTCAGACCAGATTCCCTGGATGGAGCTGTGGTCAGTGCCAGGGTGCTTCCACGGGGGAGGCTCCTCAGGGGGGTTTTGGGTCCCAAAAAGGGGTGGCTGTCGATGGGTGAGGGTTCTCCAGCAGCGTTTCCCGCAGACACAACCAGGAGGAGAAGCTGCTGTGCCTGGTGCGGCACCGCGCCGGCCACCACTGCCAGAACGCCGTCATCATCATCCTCATCCTGGCCTGGGAGGGCATCCCCCGCACGCTGGGGGACACGCTCTACCAGGAGCTCACCGACACCCTCACCAAGTACGGCAACCCCACCAGCCGCCGCTGCGGCCTCAACGACGAGTGAGTCCCACCGGCAGCGCGCCCCGGGTGGGGAGGCGGGGTGGGAACGGGTACGGGATATGGGGTACGGGAACAGGATACAGGATATGGGGTACGGGATATGGAGTACAGGATATGGGGTATGGGATATGGAGTACGCGCTCTACCAGGAGCTCACCGACACCCTCACCAAGTACGGCAACCCCACCAGCCGCCGCTGCGGCCTCAACGACGAGTGAGTCCCACCGGCAGCGCGCCCCGGGTGGGGAGGCGGGGTGGGAACGGGTATGGGATATGGGGTACGGGAACAGGATACGGGATATGGGGTATGGGAACGGGGTATGGGATATGGGGTATGGGATATGGAGTACAGGATATGGGGTACAGGATACGGGGTGTGGGAGCGGGGTATGGGAAAGAGATGTGGGCATGGGGTACGGGATACAGGGTGTGGAAATGGGGTACAGGAATGGGGTATGGGAATGGGGTGTGGGATATGGGTGTGGGAAAGACATGTGGGAACGGGGTGCAGGAACACGGTGTGGGAACGGGGTACGGGAACGGGGCATGGGAATGGGATGTGGAAATGGGATGCGGGAATGGGATGCGGGGCTCCCTCCCATTCCCAGAGCTGCCGTCACTGCACTGCACCGGTGGCTGATGCTCCCACGCCATGTCCCCCTCCAGCCGGACCTGCGCATGCCAAGGCAAGGACCCAAACACCTGCGGTGCTTCCTTCTCCTTTGGCTGCTCCTGGAGCATGTACTTCAACGGCTGCAAATACGCCCGCAGCAAAACTCCCCGCAAGTTCAGGCTGGTGGGAGACAACCCCAAAGAGGTGGGTGATGGAGGTGGAGCGGGGGCAGCGCCAGTGGGGTGGTGGTTTGGAGCTCCTTTCCTGTCAGGACTCTGAAAACAGGATTCCTTGTGGGGTTTTTTATGGGCTAGAGATGAGGAAAGGAAAGGTGGCACGAATGCCACCTTTCTCTGTAGAAATCCCAGAAGACAGTGAGGCTGGAGCTTGAATGGCCAAATCCTCACAAGGAATTTAAGCCACATGTTTTGTGCCATGGTGGATATCGTGGGAAGGGTTGGCTGCCATGTGGTGTCTGTGGGCTCTGTCTCCAGTTCCATCCCTGCTGCCAAAACCCCTCGGTAACATCCTCCTCTTTTCCCTTCCACAGGAAGAGCTGCTCCGGAGAAGCTTTCAGGACTTGGCCACCGAGGTTGCTCCACTTTACAAGAGGCTGGCGCCGCAAGCCTACCAAAACCAGGTCCTGCTCATCCCAGCCCCTGGCACACAGCTGGAATGGGTGTGGGGTGGTGCTGTTGGGGGATTTTGTGTAACCAGCTCCTCCTTCCACAGGTCACCAACGAGGATGTAGCCATCGACTGCCGGCTGGGCTTGAAGGAGGGGAGGCCGTTCTCGGGGGTGACGGCATGCATGGACTTCTGTGCTCACGCTCACAAGGACCAGCACAACCTCTACAACGGCTGCACCGTGGTAAGCAGGCACCCGGCAGGGCTTTTCAAAGTGCTCCCCCCTAATTTGGGATGCTCCTTTTTGAGGGACTCCATCCCCAGTCCCAACCTCGTGACTCCAGGTGTTTGGTGTGGGCACACCTCACATGAGCTGCTCAGGTCTAACAGGGACCAGCATCTACTTCTGTCCAACCCAAACCCCATGGTTCCAAATACCAGCTGGGGACCAGAGCAGGCTGGGGGGATGCCAGGCTGGTGTGGCTTCACATCAGTGTGGGGAAGAAGTGTGAGGTTTGGTTCGTCCAGCACGGGCCGCATCGATCAGCATCCCGCTGACAGCACCTGCTCTGGCTAGGTCTGCACACTGACGAAGGAAGACAATCGTGTGGTGGGGAAAATTCCTGAAGATGAGCAGCTGCACGTCCTCCCCCTCTACAAGATGTCCAGCACAGATGAGTTTGGCAGCGAGGAGAACCAAAACGCCAAGGTGGGCAGCGGGGCCATCCAGGTGCTCACGTCCTTCCCCCGCGAGGTCCGCAAGCTGCCCGAGCCTGCCAAGTCCTGCCGGCAACGACAGCTGGAAGCCAGGAGAGCTGCTGCCGAGAGGAAGAAGCTGCAGAAAGAGAAGCTGATGACGCCAGAGAAGATCAAGCAGGAAGCGCTCGAGCTCCCCACGCTCCAGCCAAATGCAGGTAACGGAGGCAGAGGTGAGGTCCTGCCACCCCGAGCCACCCGGAAAGCGCGTGAGGGGGTAGGGGTGTGGTTGGGGACTTTTTTGGGCCGCTGTGTTGTGGTGCTGGATGGCATCTCTGTGCCACCTGGGTTTTCACAAAGGTGCAAATCGATGCCGGTGTGCCAGGTGATGGCAGCTGATGCCAACCTCTGCAGCTGGCTGGCAAACCTATCACCATGGGGTTTCTGAGTCTGGCCAACTGTTTTGGGGTCCTGGTTCCCCTCCGGTGGCTCCCTTGGCTGGCAGGTCACGGGGGCTGTGTGTGCTGTCCCACAGGTATGGCATTGAAAGGCGGGATACCCCCGCAGCCGCTGAAACCTTCCATCAAGGTGGAACCCCAGAGCCATTACAACGCCTTCAAGTACAACGGCAACGCCGTGGTGGAGAGCTACTCGGTGCTGGGCAGCTGCCGGCCCTCCGACCCGTACAGCATGAACAGTGTTTACTCTTACCATTCCTACTATGCACAGCCCAATCTGCCTTCCGTGAACGGGTTTCACTCCAAGTTCGCGCTTCCCTCCTTCGGGTATTACGGCTTTTCCAGCAACCACGTGTTCCCCTCACAGTTTCTCAATTACGGGGCGCCCGAGAGGAGCGGGAGCAGCTGGGTCAGCAACGGCTACGAGAAGAAGCCCGATGTCTCAGCGCTGCAGGAGAACCTCAACCACACCTACGGGAACACCAATTTCCCTGAGCCCATCCCGCACAGCGTGCGGAGCAAAAACCATCACCAGCGCACCTACGAGCGAGCCAACCGCTACGCCAGCCAGCAGAAAGCGGCTGCGGCAACGCCCGGGGCGCACAGGACTAGCTCGGGCTCGGAGGAGGCACCATCGTTTGCACAGAACTGTTTTGGCAGCAGGCCCATCAAGCAGGAGCCTCCAGACCCCCCGCCCGCCATTGAGCCCCTTCCCAGCGCTGCGGCCGTGCCCGGCGCTGGTTTAACGCTGCCGGCCGTCCCTGCGCACGGCACGGCGCCGGAGCAGCGGTGGAGCCCCTTCAAGGCACCCCGGGGCACAGCTTCCCCTGAGAGGACTAGCACAGCTGAGGGCTCATGGAGCGCGCTGGCGCCGGGCTCAGGCGGGCGGGAGAAGCTGAGCGCCTTCGATGCCGCCGTGCGCTTGCCACCACCTGAGAAGCAGTGGTCCCATGTCCTGGCTGGAGAGACGGCGGCGGCGGCAGCGCCCGGCTCGGGCTTGCTGCCGAAATCGTGGAGCCCCTGCAAGCTGGGGGAGACGGCGCTGGCGGGCACGGGCACCCCGGGCCTGCTGGGGTCACTGGGGTTCAGCTCGGCTCTGCCAGGGCTCCCCAGCTTCCCCGAGGAGCCGTGGGGCTCCGTGAAGGTGGAGGAGCAGAGGACACCAGCACCCAGCCTGGGGCTGGCGGAGAAGCCTTGGGAGGCAGCAGTGGGTGAGAAGGGGGTGGCAGGACCCCACCAGGAGAAGCCGTGGGACCCCTTTGGCCTGGAGGAGGATCTGCCGGAGAAGGCAGTGAAGGAGGAAGAGGAAGAGGAGGAGGAAGAGGAGGAGGAAGAGGAAGAGGAGTGGTCAGACAGTGAGCACAACTTCCTGGATGAGAACATCGGCGGCGTGGCCGTGGCACCCGCCCACGGCTCCATCCTCATCGAGTGTGCCCGCCGCGAGCTCCACGCCACCACCCCGCTGAAGAAACCCAACCGCTGCCACCCCACCCGCATCTCCCTCGTCTTCTACCAACACAAGAACTTGAACCAGCCCAACCACGGCCTGGCGCTGTGGGAGGCCAAGGTGAAGCAGCTGGCGGAGCGGGCTCGGGCCCGGCAGGAGGAGGCGGCGCGTCTGGGGCTGCCGCCGGACGCCAAAGCCTTTGCCAAGAAGCGCAAGTGGGGCGGCGCGTTGGCGACCGAGGCGCCCAGCAAGGAGAGGAGGGACTCAGTCCCCACGCGGCAGGCGGTGGCAATCCCCACCAACTCTGCCATCACTGTGTCCTCCTACGCCTACACCAAGGTGACGGGCCCCTACAGCCGCTGGATCTGAGACCAAGGCGACCGCCATGGCCCCATCTTACCTCAACCCTCGGCAGCGCCGCAGCCCGGCGTTGCTTCGTGGTGCTTTCTCCTCGGGCATGGGGGAGAAGAAAACAAAAGTAAATAGACGAAACCGAAGCGAAACACAACAACCACAAAAAAACATAAAAAAAAATCCAACCCATAGGAAACGAACCCAACGCGTGTGCTTGGGAGCAGCGGAGCCGGCGCGGGCTCACGCCGTCGGAGAGCTGCGCCCGGGGAGGAGTTGGCAAAGCAAGCAAAACTTGGTTAAAAAACCCAAGAGGAACGATGCTGTTTGATGATTTTAGGTAATCTCATATTTATATCTCCATGTTTTTTAATCTAGCCTCGGATGAATTTCCTAGTGTCCTTTCGCAAGGAGAGGTTTTTAATTCCACTTAAAATGGCCTGTTTGTTGGATTTGATTTTATTTTATTTTTTACTCCGATGACAACGACGAAGCCGATCTTTGAAAGAGAAGCCAACATTGAAAAACCACCCTAATCATGAATCCAAACCAACTTGAACACCAAACCAGCTCAAAGGCAAGAGGTGACTCCCTCCAGCTCCGCCGCGTGGGGGCTGGTGGGACCGTGTGCTTTACTGTCAGCCAGACACGCTGAACATCCAATTATTTTTATTCCAAGGACCTAAAAATACCAATTTTGCAGCTTGAGGAGACCTTTCTCACAGCAACGGGAGCCCGCGAGCGAGCGGGCCATCCTGGGATGGCGCGTCTCCGCCCGGCTCCTTGCCTCTGGCGGGATCGGCTCTGCCGCCGCGGAGCAAAACCGGCGTCTCTCCTGGCGCCGGAGACCTCAGGACACGTCCGGGCTGGGGAACGCCGCTGCCGGGGGGCCACGCTCGGGCTCGGACTTGGGGCTTCTTTGCCCACGGCCTCCGGGGCGAGCGGCAGCGGCGGCGTCTCCGTAGGAGCCGACGGGACAAAAACAGAAGAAAAAAAAGAAAAAAAAAAATTACAAAAAACAGGAAAAAAACACAAACCAACCCCAAACTGTGAATAGCGAGTGTTGCTCTCTGTACATCACTGTTGCTAAAGTCTGGTGCTTTCCGTCTCCGGGGGACTTTCTCCGTGCAATCGGCTCTGGGAAGAGCGAATCCCAAGACTTGGCTGGCCAAAACCCCGCCGGGTCCGCCTTCCCCGCCGGTGCCGGCGAGCCGCGGCCAACGCCGCCGGGGCTCGGTGCTCTTTTCTCTCCCCGGGTGCCATCCCTCCTTCCTACGGATCACCGTTCTTCCCTCAAAAAAAAACAAACAAAAAAAAACAAAACCCCAACCCAACCAATAACCCAGCAACGACGACAACCGCGTGGTGCTTTTCGAACACTCTCAGTCGAGACTTCCCGCCCGGCGCCGGGACGGACGGAGCGCGGCCGAGCTGCCCCGCGGCTCGCCGGGAGCGCGGCGTGGCCGGAGCCGGGGGCCGGCGTCCCCGGGCGGGGTCGTTGCTTTTGCACTTTGAGGTGCCTTTTGGAGAGCCAGCGAGGCAGCGCCGACGCCGTCGCCGTGCGGGATCACCTCGTGTTTACCGTCACCCTCCTTCCCCCCATCGCGCACGGGCACGGATCAGCAGGATCTCGGTAAAACAGCCTGAACATTGACGTGGTCTGATTTTAAACCTGTAAATAGGGAAAGAAATTTTTTTAAAAGCACTTTCACCTAGATTTAAAAAAAAAAAAAAAAAGAATGAAAGCGAAACTTAAAAAAGCAAACAACTCCCCTCTTTCCTCTCCCCCCACTCCCCCCAACTTGAAGCAGTATGTTTTAAACAAGATTATCGTGGGAGAACTGTAAATACTGGCAGAATATTTAACATGCTTTGTCCGTCCTTCATCATTAATGAATTTTTTTTTTTTTTTGTTTTTTGTTTTTTTGTTCGTTTTTTAACCGTAATCTGTAAAGTCGCGTATATTTGACAAGGAAACTCAACGAGCTATTCCCGCTTTTCTTAGAAATACCCAATAGCATATCAGGATTGTAAGAGTCAGATTTTAGGGACGCCGGCGGGCGATGCCGGGGACCCGCCGTGTCGCCGTGGTTCGGAACGCGGAGCGGGGACGATCCGGGGCCGGGTTCGGGTGCCGGCCCTGTTGTTGTCACCCGGGCTCTCTGGCTGGCGTGACGGGGGTGCCTTGGAGGAGAAGGAGCGTTGGGAGAAGGCGATGGTCCGTGTAACCTGTCTAAGTCCTGCTTCCTCAGAGGTTTTTCGGTGCAGGGAGGGGTCGGTCCGGCGCGGCGGGTTCAGCCCGGGAGAGCGGGGAGCTGCCGGCGCCGCGGGTCGGGGAGCGAGAACTGCTGCAGTCTCAACGTTTTTACACTACATAAACTTTGTCTAACCTACCTCAACTCTCAGTCATTACGAATTCGCACGCTTCAGACTTCTACACAAACTCGAAATCTATGCACAGCTCTTTACCCCTTGCTGCTGAGAGGCTGTTTCCAAGCAAAATCTTTTCCCTTTACCCGTCCCGGCGGCCGCGCTTGTCCCGCCCGTGCCGAAGCCGCGGGGGTCGCGGAGCTCGGGGGGGAGGGATGTTTTTAACGAGTGGGATGTGGGGACCTGGTTTTGCAGCAGGTCATGGCCACAATGGTGCTAGAACAACAGCCGTGGTGGAAACCCCAGGGAGGGCTCGGCGCGGGGAGCCCCGACCGGCTCCTCCGTCCCGCTTTGGTTTTTCTGGCCACGGTGCTTCGCCTCGGGCAGGAAACGGGGGATGCAATTTGGGTCCCCCTCCATCTCGATGCTCTCGGGATGAGGCATGGGAAGGAGAAGGAAACCAGAATCCCTGAGGTGCCTCAATTGCTGATTTTTCCTTTTAATACTGGAGTACGCTTTGTGGGCTCTATAAGGCATATTTTTATTAAATGAAATCTTGTAATACAAACGGTGCTATGGTGTTTTAACAAACTGTATCACGCTTCTGCCTGATTCCATCTCGCTGAGGTGCTACTAATGTATATATCAAATTAAGGAACCAAGTTAAAAAAAACAAAAAAACAAAATTTAAGCAATGTCGTTGAGAAGGAAGTTTACTTTTCCGGAGCGACAGCTCGAGGCGTGCCGGGAGCCGGTTGGGTTTATGCAAACTGAAAGAGGCGCCGTGTCCGAGGCGTGCCGCCGGCCGGGGTCGTGGTGGAGCCGTTCCCTGCGGGTCCGGGGCGGGTGTGGTCCCGGGATGAGGTGCTAGAGGTGATGTCCAGGTGCAGGGCTCAGCCAGGTGTCCGCAGTGCTCGGCCAGGTGTGTGGTCATGGTGCTTAGCCATAGTGCCTGGACAGGTGTGTGGCCATGGTGCTTGGATAGGGTGCTCGGCCAGGTGTGTGGTCATGGTGCTTAGCCATAGTGCCTGGACAGGTGTGTGGCCATGGTGCTTGGCCACAGTGCTTGGACAAGCTGCTCGGACGTGGAGTGTGGACATAAGTGCTCGGACACGGTGCTCAGCCACACGTGGTGGCTGTGGTGCTCAGACGCGGTGCTCGGTCACACATCGTAGACGCGGTGCTTGGACTCGGTGCTCAGGCTCAATGCTCGGCCACAGGTCATGGACATAGCGTGGTCATGGACGTGGTGCTCGGTCGTGATGCTCGGCCACAGGTCATGGACATAGCGTGGTCATGGACGTGGTGCTCAGGAACGGTGCTCGGCCACTCCTTGTGGACACGGTGCTCGGACATGGTGCTCAGTGCGGTGCTCAGACGTGGTGCGTGGACATGGTGCTTGGTCCCCGTGCTTGGCCACTCATGATGGACGTGGTGCTCAGACATGGTGCTTGGACATGGTGCTTGGTCCCAGTGCTTGGCCACACATGATGGACATGATGCTCGGACATGATGCTCGGACATGGTGCTTGACTGCGGTGCTTGGATGTGGTGCTTGGACACTGATCATGGACGTGGTGTGTGGACATGGTGCTGTGTTTGGTGCTTTGACTTGGCACATGGACATGGTGCTTGGGCACGGTGCTCTGCTGTGGTGCTCGGACATCGTGTGTGGACATGGTGCTTGATCCCAGTGCTTGGACATGGTGCATGGACATGGTGTGTGGACACGGTGCTTGGCCACAGTGCTCGGACATGGTTCTCAGACATGGTGCATGGAGATGGTGCTCGGGCATGGTGCTCAGCCATGCACCATGGATGTGGTGCTCAGCCGTGGTGTGTTGACATGATGTGTGGACAGTGCTTGGCCAGGGCGTGTGGACAGTGCTTGACCGCAGTGCTCGGACATGGTGCAAGGGCATGGTGTTCAACATGGTGCTTGGACATGGGGCATGGACATGGTGCTCGGGCACGGTGCTCAGCCATGCCACCATGGACATGGTGCTCGGACGTGGTGCTCAGACATGATGTGTGGACATGGTGCTCAGCCGGGGTGTGTGGACATGGTGCATGGACATGGTGCTCGGACATTGGTTCTTGGACATTGGTGCTTGGACATGGTGCATGGACATGCTGAGTGGACATGGTGCTCGGACATTGGTTTTTGGACATTGGTGCTTAGACATGGTGCATGGACATGCTGAGTGGACATGGTGCTCGGACATGCTGAGTGGACACTGGTGCTTGGCCATGCACTGTGGACATGGTGCTCGGACGTGGTGGGTGGACACGGTGCTCAGACATGGCACATGGACATGGCGCTCGGCTTGGTGCTTGGGCTCGGTGCTTGGCCGTGGCTCCTGGGCCCGTGCTCTGCCGTGGTGCTTGAACATGGCCCCTGGCCGTGGTGCTCGGCCACGACGTGATTTGACCACGTGTTGTGGGCATGGTGCTTGAGCGTGGTGCTCCGTGGGTGGTGCTCAGGCACGGTGTGTGGACATGGCACTTGGCCACACACCCCGGACATGATGTGTGGACATGGTGCTGAGCTGGGTGTGTAGACACAGCGCTCGGCTGTGGGGCTTGGACACGGTGTGTGGGCACGGTGGTTGGGCATGGAGCATGGACATGGTGATTGCCCAGAGCATGGACATGATGGTTGAGCACAGAGCATGGGCACGGTGGTTGGGCATGGAGCATGGACACGGTGGTTGCCCAGAGCATGGACACGGTGGTTGAGCACAGAGCATGGACACAGTGGTTGGGCATGGAGCATGGACACGGTGGTTGCCCAGAGCATGGACACGGTGGTTGCCCACCCTGCACGGCGCACAGCTCGGTGCTGCTCGGGCACCGGGCACCCCCATGGCGCTGCCCCGCTGAGCCCGGTCCTGGCGCTGCTCCCCTTCAGCACCAACCCTGAGCAACCAACCCTGAGCAACCAACCCTGCGCTGCTGGTGCTCAGCAGCACGCCAGCCCCATGTCCAGCACCATGTCCATCCTGTGTCCATCCCATGTCCATCACTGTGTCCATCACCATGTCCATCACCGTGTCCATCCCATGTCCATCCTGTGTCCATCCCATGTCCATCACCGTGTCCATCCTGTGTCCATCCTGTGTCCATCCTGTGTCCATCACCATGTCCAGCACCGTGTCCATCCCATGTCCATCCTGTGTCCATCCCATGTCCATCCTGTGTCCATCCCATGTCCAGCACCATGTCCAGCCCTGTCCAGGCTCCCGCAGCCCCTCGCTCTCATCCCCTCCTGCCTCCCCTGCGCTCCTCCCGCCTCTTTCTTTTCCCCTTCCCTTTTTTTGGGTTGATTTTCCTTTTTTTGGGGTTTCTTGGTGCTACTTCCCCCCCGTGCCCCCCAGCAGATACCTCAGCCCCCAGCCCCGGGTGCAGCTTGTCCGGGATCAGGGATCCTCTCCCACATTTCCGAGATCTCTCCCGCATTTTTGGGATCCTCTCCCGCATTTCTGGGATCCTCTCCTGCATTTCTGGGATCCTCTCCCACATTTTTGGGATCTTCTCCCACATTTTTGGGATCCTCTCCATGTTCCCTCCTTTTCCCTTTTCCCTTTCCCACCCGGGTTTTCCCCATTCCTGCGCCTCCTTCAGGGATTTTTGACCCCGCCGCAATTTCCTCATTTGGGTTCTGGGAGTGAGGAGGGATTTTGGCTTGGTGGGATTTTTATTTTATTTTATTTTATTTTATTTGGAATTTTTTTAATTCTATTTTTTTTTTTTATTTTACTGTATTTTCTTTTATTTGTAAATCCTTTTTTTAATTCTATTTTTTAAAATTTTATTTTATTTTATTTCATTTCATTTCATTTCACTTTATTTTATTTCATTTTATTTTATTTTATTTTATTTATTTTATTTTATTTTATTTTATTTTATTTCATTTTATTTCATTTTATTTCATTTTATTTTATTTAATTTCATTTCATTTCATTTTATTTTATTTTATTTCATTTCATTTTATTTCATTTTATTTTATTTCATTTTATTTCATTTTATTTCATTTTATTTTTTAGCACCATGGCAATTCCAAAATGACAAGCTGAGTGCGTTCCTTGTGGGATCCGGGAATTGGGCCGGAGGTGGGGCGGCTTTTCCGGCACTTTTGGGGATTTATTTTGGGATTTTTTTGGGATTTTTTGGGGGGTATTCCCATGGGGTTTGGGATTTTTTTGGGGGGATTTCTTTAGGGATTTTTTGGGGAATTTTTTTTGGGCTCTTCTGGCGTTATTTGGGATTTTTTTCTGGGGTGTTCCGATGCTTTTTTGGGATTTATTTTGGAATTTTTTTGAGGGTACTCCAGCGTTATTTGGGATTTATTTAGGGAATTCTTTTGGGCTCTTCTGGTGTTATTTGAGATTTATTTTGGGGGTTTTCTTGGGGTATTCCAGCATTAATTGGGATTTTTTGGGGTTTTTTTTCTGGGGTATTCTGGCAGTTCTTGGGATTTCTTTGGGGATTTTTTGGGGTATGTGGGATTTTTTGGGGGGTGTTTCGGCATTATTAGGGATTTCTTTTGGAATTCCTTTTGGGATTTTTTCTGGGGTATTTGGGATTTTTTGGGGGATATTTCGGCATTATTAGGGATTTATTTTGGAATTCCTTTTGGAATTTTTTCTGGGGTATTCCGGCGTTTTTGGGATTTCTTTTGGGGGTATTTTTGGGATTTTTTCTGGGGTATTTGGGATTTTTTTTGGGTATTCCGCTGCTTTTTGGGATTTATTTTGGGTGCATTTTTGGGATTTTTTCTGGGGTTTTCCAGCGCTTTTTGGGGTTTATTTTGGGATTTTTTTCGGGGCTATTCCGGCGCTCTCTGGGGTTTATTTTGGGATTTTTTCGGGGCTATTCCGGCGCTCTCTGGGGTTTATTTTGGGATTTTTTCGGGGTATTCCGGCGCTCTCTGGGGTTTATTTTGGGATTTTTTCGGGGTATTCCGGCGCTTTCCGTGGTTTATTTTGGGGATTTTTTCGGGCTATTCCGGCGCTTTCTGTGGTTTATTTTGGGATTTTTTGGGGGCTATTCCAGCGCTTTCCGTGGTTTATTTTGGGATTTTTTGGGGCTATTCCGGCGCTCTCTGGGCTGTTCTGGGGACGGCGGCAGCTGCGGGGAGGCACCGCGGGGTTCCCAAACCCCTTTGGGATTCCTGGCTGGGCTCGGCTCTGGGGTTACTTGAAATGAAGATTTCGGGGCGGATGAGGAGCGGTAGAATTTTTTCCCACGTCTCAAGGCAATAGGATTAATTAATTAATGAATTAATTAACATGTAATTAAACTGTAGATACTCCTAGGACAGGAAATCGATGCCGATAATTTTATTTTGTATCATTTTCCCTTTCTCTCTGTGTTGTTTTTTTCCCCTTTTCCCTCCTTTTCTTTCTCCCCAGTGTTTCAATAAATTTATTTTTTAGGATTCCTAAAAATCGCAAGTTTGGATCCTCCCCTCCGGTTTTGGTTTTGTTTTTTTGGGGTTTTTTTGTTCTGTTGTTGTTTATTTTTAATTTGTATTTTATTCTGAGTTGGGCTGTGTTATTATTCCCGATACCTTTAAAATATTGTGGGTGTTTTAATAAATTTTATATTTATTTTTTGCACTCAACACCAGGCTCGGCTGCAATTCCTGTGGGAATTGGGATTGGGGTTTTGGGATTGGGGTTTTGGGATTGGGGAGTCTGGGTATGGGAATTGGGGGCAGGATTGGATTTTGGGGTTGGGGTTTTTGGGGTTGGGGTTTTTGGGGTTGGGGTTTTTGGGACTGGGGGTCTGGATGGGGTTCTGGGCATGGGAATTGGGGGCAGAGCAGAATTGGGGTCCTTTGGAGGGGGATCAGGATGGGGGGTCCATCTATGGCATGAGAGAGGGGATGGGATCCTTTTGGGATCCTTTTGGGGGTCGGGATGGGACCCTGGATATGGGAATGGAGGGGGGCAGGATGGGACTTGTGGGGTCAGGAGGGGACACTCTATAGGGTCTGGAGGGGTCATTTATGGGGTCAGGAGGGGGCTTTTTTAGGGGTCAGGTGGGGACTTTTTGTGGGTTCAGGTGGAAACAATTTATGGGATCATTAGGGGACCCTTTGTGGGATCATGAGGGGGCCCTTAGTGGGGTCAGGAGGGGGCTTTTTGTGGGGTCAGGAGGGGACCCTTGGGGGGGCTTGGGGGGGGGTGCGCCTTTCCTGGTCCTCCGAGCCACCAGGAGGCGCTCGGGCGGTGCAGCGCTGGCCCCGCCCCTTTTCTCACCGGCGCGCTCTGATTGGCTGAGCCGGAGGTGACCCCGGCGCGCCCCCGGGATGGCGGCGGCGGGGCTGAGCCGGGGCCCGGTGAGCGTCCGTTAGTCCCCGAGTCCCTCCCCCTTGCCCTGCTCCCCTCCCGGCCCGTCTCCTCCCCGTGTCCCGCCGGTGCCGCTAACCGCGGCCCGCGCCCCCTCCCGGTGTCCGTCCCCGGGCCCGCTTCCCCGCCGTCTCCCGGTGTTCCCCCGTTCCTTGTACCGCTCCCGGTGCTTCCGCTCCTCTCAATATCCCTCAGGCACGGGTAAACCCCCTCCGCCCCTCCCCAGGCCCGGTTCCCACCGCCCGATCCTCCGCTGATGGCAGCTCCGTTCCCGTCCGTCCCTTCCCGTCCCCTCCCGCCGTTCCCGGGCTGTTTTTGGGGTTCCCGGGGGTCTCAGGGCCGTTTCCCCGCAGCTGTTCCTGCGCTGCCGCTCCTGGCGGGGTTTGGCCTCCGGCACGGACGGGGAGTCGCGCCTGGCGCGGCTGCTGCGGGAGAAGTTCCCGCGGGCCTCGGCCATCAAGGTGGTGGACATCTCAGGTAGGGACTGCGCCTGTGGGCCTAAACCGGCCTGGTGATCCTAAACCGGCCTGGTGATCCTAAACCGGCCTGGTGATCCTAAACCCGCTCTTTGTGATCCTAAACCCGCTCTTTGTGATCCTAAACCTGCTCCTGTGTGCCTAAACCTGCTCCTGTGTGCCTAAACCCGCTCTTGGTGATCCTAAACCCGCTCTTTGTGATCCTAAACCTGCTCCTGTGGGCCTAAACCCACTTTCTGATCCTAAATCCACTTCTGTTTGCCCTAAACCCGCTCTTTATCACCCTAATCCCCATTATTGCCCTAAACCCGCTCTTGGTTACCCCAAACCTGGTTTTCAGGGGGGACCCAGTCGGTCTCCAGCCCCCTGTGGGCTGCAGGGACCCCCAGAAGGGGCAGGAGTGTGAGGGTGCTCAAGCCTTCACTTTAAAATTTATTTTAATTGACGTTAATTGGCGTTGATTTGCGTTAATTGGCCCGGGTTCCCAGGAGGCTGCGGCGCCATGTACGAGATCCACGTGGAGTCGGAGGAGTTCCGGGAGAAGCGCCCGGTGCAGCAGCACAGGATGGTGACCCAGGTCTGGGGCAGGGGAGAGGGAACGGGAGAGGGGGAATGGGGAGAGGGAGGGGAACGGGGAGAGGGAACAGGGGAGAGGGAACGGGGAAAGAGGGAGAGGAATGGGGAGAGGAGACCAACAGGGGTGAGGGAATGGGGAGAGGGGATGGGAGGGAACAGGGGTGAGGGAATGGGTGAGAGGGAACAGGGAGAGCAGATGGAGAGAGGGGGAATGGGAGGGATTGGGGGAGAGGGAATGAGAGGGAACGGGGGGAGAGGGAATGGGAGAGGGAATGGGGGTGAGGGAATGGGAACAGCTGGATGGGTGAGAGGGAATGGACGTGAGGAAACGGGGGAAAGGGAATGGGAAAGAGGGAGTGGGAGAGAGGGAACCCATGGGGCTGAGGCTGCAGCACCCCTGGCTGTGGGGCCGTGCCTGCAGCACCCCTGGCTGTGGGGCCGTGCCTGCAGCACCCCTGGCTGTGGGGCCATGCTGCAGCACCCCTGGCTGTGGGGCCATGCTGCAGCCCTGGCTGTGGGGCCTGGCTGCAGCCCTGGCTGTGGGGCCGTGGCAGAGCCGCCCCTGAGCTGCGCGTGCCCTGCAGGCGCTGAGCGAGGAGATCAAGCACATGCACGGCCTGCGCATCTTCACCTCGGCCCCCAAGGGCTGAGGCTGCCCCCGGCCCCAATAAAGAGCTCCAGGAGGGGCCCAGGGCTGCCCCCCTGGGCCTGAACCCCACCCTGTGCCGTGTGCTCAGTCCTTGGGGGATGGTTGCTGTTATTATTATTATTATTAGCCTTGGAACCCAGACGGGTCATTGCAGGGGGGTCTATTCCCCAGCGGGAAGCGCTGAGGGAAAGGACTGAGGGGAGCGGGGAGGAATGAGGGAGAGGGCTGAGGGGAGCGGGAAGGGCTCAGGGAGCGGACTGAGGGGAGCGGGAAGGGCTGAGGGGAGCGGGAAGGGCTGAGGGGAGCGGGAAGGGCTGAGGGGAGCGGGAAGGGCTGAGGGGAGCGGGAAGGGCTGAGGGGAGCGGGAAGGGCTGAGGGGAGCGGGAAGGGCTGAGGGGAGCGCTCCGAGCCGCGCTGCCCTGAGGGAGCAGCCGCCGCGCCTGCTGGGACCAACCCCCTCCGCCAACTCTCGCGAGAGCTGTGGAAAAGGGCGGGAATCTCGCGAAGGGGGCGTGGCCACACCATAGGTGTGGTTGTGTGACCACGCCCACGTGGGGGCGGGGCAAGAAATGAGCGCGGGAACCCCAAAAGTGCGGTTGGGCACCCCAAAAGTGGGGCTGGGATTAAAAATAAAAATAAATATCTAAATTAAATTTTAAATTTTTAAATATTTTTTAAATAGATTA